ATTAGTTAAGGGAGGTATATACGGTATTTATTAATTACCCTATTCTCTCGATTAATTCCCTATTCTCCATTATGAGTTGAAACAATAATTCCTCTCCCTTATTGCTCTACTGCCCTTTCAAATTTTAAAATTCGAATAAACCTCATCCTAGAGGAGTTGAAATATTAATTCACCAAGGGGAATTATCGAGGTAAAAATTAATTAAAATCTCTGCGCATACCCTAATTTGCTGAAACATTTAATAAGACCAGGAACATTATCAGGCCATAGAAGAAAGTCATCATATTCTGACGAGTGTCGTTTTGCACGAATTAAATTAGAAAAAGGTCCTTTAATTTATTAAATTTATTAAATTTATTTTTTAACTTTATTTTTCTAAATTAGCTTCTTTGGGATGTTTAAATTATTTCAAAAATAATATGTATAATAGAGATATTCCTCTGGTCCCGTGTCCTGTCTTTTAAACAGATACTGGCTTTAAAGGATAAATAGTTTGCTTTGAATTTTAAGAGCATTCGATTTTACCCAAAAAATTCAATCAAATTTCGAAGTTAAATTGTTCTATTTTACCTTATTTTGGACCTTAATTTACTTTGTTTGGTAACCGAGAGAAGGAGGAGTGTCTGAAACCCTCTATTTAAGATAACCTTATTGTATAGGATATAATCTTGCATTCCTCTGGAAGCTCCTTAATTTTAATTAAAAAAATAATTAATTAACCAGTCTCGATTTTTGCAATATTTTTATTAATTAAAATAATGAATAATAATATTAAATTAATTTTGAGTAAGACAGAAAATTTCATTAAGAAAATGATAAAACTTTTATTGGTAATTCTTCGGTTTTCGCCCCCCCCCTCCTTTTTCGTTCCTCAAAGTATTAAAAAATGGTCAGTCAATCTTATGTTATAGAACACATCGAGCTGTGTCGAATGACACCAAAATCAACAAAATCCGACTTTATTGGACCCAAATACAGACCCCTGAAAATTGAACAACAACAGGGGTGATGTTTTAAAATAAAAAAATTTAAGCAAATGATACCTCATTCGAAAGAGCTCGTCGAGCTGAGTCGAATGACACCAGAATCGACGTGATTGGTCATGGTTTGACAAAGTTATGACATAAGTTGCCGACTTCGATAGGTATAATTAATGTCATAACTTTGTCAAATCTTGTTCAATCACGTCGATTCTGGTGTCATTCGTCGATGAGCTCTTTCGAATGAGGTATAATTTGTATGAATTTTCGTCCACATGATTTTTCGCCCCTATGGTTGTTCAATTTTCAGGGGTCTGTATTTGGGTAATCAAGTCGGATTTTGTTGATTTTGGTGTCTTTCGACTCAGCTCGATGTGTTCTATAACATATGATTGACTGACCATTTTTTAATACTTTGAGGAACGAAAAAGGAGGGGGGGCGAAAACCGAAGAATTACCCTTTTATTTTTAAAAATAAAAATATTTATTCCAAAAATTGTTTTATATGAAACATTTCTGAGTTAATTTTTAGTTAAATAAAACAACTCAACAAACAAATTATAAACATAAAATAAACATTCTTCCTCCTTAATTTCTTTATGTTATTTTATGTTTAAATGATATCATCTGACTAAATGCTTACTATAAAATTTTAGATTCCTCTCATCAGAATTTTTGCTAAAGGAAGTAAATTTTGTAAAAATAAGACGTGGAATTATTTTTTTAAATTTTTCCTCCACATATGTATGATGATTTCTAAAAATTTATTTTATTATTTTGTTTTTCGTATTTTGTTTGTTTTAGTCCAAGTTTCTTGTATTATTCTACCTCTACATAAAAAAACGCCAGCGTTTTCTCGGCAGCGGAAAACGCAACTTATGTAGACACTCTCAATTTGCCGTTAAAACGCCGGCGTTTTTCCTCTCTCATTTTTCCATATTAATTTCTGCGGAAAACGCGCGCGTTTTTTTATGTAGACGTAGCATTAGTAAGTTATGGATACCCGTGACACGTTGATATTTACCACAATAATTCAGAAAAATTCTGAGGCATACTTCCGGAATTAGTAATTCTTTTAATTTTATGTTGTCGCTAAATAAAAAAATTTTTTTTGGAATAATTTTTTATTTAAAATATTTTTATTAAATATTTTAAAAATTAAAAAAATTCCTTCAATCGTTTATATTTTATAATTATTTTTAATTTTTAATTCACACTTTTCTTTTAATTTTTAACAACTTTTAAAAGTACAAAATTGTTTTTAAATTGTTCACATATTTTTAAAATTCTAGCCAATTTTAATGCGCAATTTTTTTCTCTTTAGATCAAATCCATTTAAATGTTAAAAAATCTGGTTTGTGTGTAGGCGAAGAGTTTTTACTTTTTATGTTCTACATAAATGACTTTTAATGTTAAGTTTTTTTTTGTTTTTTTGTAGAACGTGACTGAAAAAATCAAAAGTATATACTGTAGTAGGGTACAGCCCGAAATGTCGCGCGGCCATAATTTCGCCAAGCCATAACTTGCTAAAAAATTTCTGGCCCTTATCAATTTTGGTACCAATCTCTTTAGCTCGATGAGAGGAATCGTTTAATACTAAACTTGGAAAGATTCGGAAATCTTAAAGCAAGTTATGGCTCGGCGACATTATAGCCGCGCGACATTTCGGGCGTGTCCCACTGTAGTATATGTATCTAATGAATAAGGTTGGTCCTCGTCCCAGTCCCCGAAAGTCTGGGAATTGAGACATTTTTTGAAAATTCCCCGTCCCCCTCCCCGTGGCTCTGCCCTTCCCGAAAAACTTTCCCCGTGACCCTTTCTCCCCCTCCCTCCCTCCGTCAGGAACCAGCCCTACTAATGGACCGCTCTGTTAGAAAGATCTATTTAATTAGATCGAGTAAAGATTTTGCTCCAGACAGGCAGAACAGATCTTTGTTTAGGAATAGGGTGTCTAGTATAGGGGGTCTAGTGTCTAACTAGAGATCGGATTATGACGGGATCTCTAACAAAATCATTATCGAGATAGAAATTTTTCGACTTATCTCTACACTCCTATTTCGGTCTCTATTCCTGGAATTCGGTCTCTATTCCCTCGTTAATTATCATTCTTAAATGCTATTTAGCTTGCCTTTCTTTATTGCAATAATCCTACATTATTAGTGATAAACGACAAGACAAAGAAGCACATAAATTAGATCGGCCTGGTTCGAGGATTCGAAATTCCAAAAAAAAATTTTTAGAAAAAAAAAATTGGTTCAGCTTTAATATTAGAAAATTCAATCAAGTATTTTATTTAAATTAACAAAATAACAAATTAAAAATGCGTCGCCGTCTTTTCTTTAAAGATAAAGTAAAACAACGATTATTTCGCTCAGTTTCGTGTTCAAGCATTTTTGATTCGCTTAGACGATTTAGTGGGAAAGTTGTAATTATTACTGGTTTGTTTCCCCCAATTATTTCGAATAATTATTTAAAAGGTTCGAGTTCTGGTATTGGCCAATCAGCAGCATTATCTTTTGCTGAAGAGGGAGCGTCAGTTGTAATTCATGGACAAAACAAGGAAAGATTGGATGTAAAATAAATTCATATAAAATTTAATTATAAGACTAATTATAGCATTAATTTAGAGTCTATAAGGCACCTTCAGGAATATATTTATTATTAGTGTGCGGCACGGGATGGGATTCGGTACAGGATTCACCTGATACCGTCAATTTTAACGACAAGTGGTATTACCTTTACAGGATTAATCCAGTGAATTTTAACCTTTTGGAAAAATTGCGTCTCGAAACCCTGGATTTGCGATTTTTCTGCAACCTCATATCAGACATTGCAGAAAAACTCCTTTTTCACTCCTTTTTCATTAGGCATCGGATGCGAGTAGGGTTGGGGTTTTCGAGTCAGGCCGACGTTCGAGTTATTCTTTTCGGGCCATATTTTTATCGGGCCTGCCCAACCGAGTCTTTTTCGGACCAAAATCCAATACCCGACTCGATCTTTCGGACCGGGCCCCCAACCCTAGTTGTGAGTGGAAATACTTTGGGAGACCGAAAAATTATGATAAGAGCTCTGAGGAATTATGGAAAGAATTACTAGCTCAGAATTTTATTAGGAGAAAATATTTTTTTATTTTATGGATGATTGCTGACAATTAAATTTTGATAAAAACAAAAAAAAATATAAAATAAATTAAAAGAAAACAGAAAAATTATTGTTGGCTGAAGGAATACCTCCTCAAAAAATGCTTAAAATTCTTGGTTCATTAGAAGATTCAAAGACAGCAGAAAGAATTGTTAAGGAAACAATAAACAAATTTGGAAGGATTGATATATTAGTTTATATTTTTATTAGAATTTAACAAAAAAAATTTGTTAGATAAACAATGCAGGTGTCCTTGCTAAACCTAATATTAACAATCCCGAAGCTATCGAGAATCTTGATTTTATTTATCAAATTAATTTGAGAAGGTGAGTAAATAGGCTTATCTCTTAGAAAAAATATTTTTCCTGAAGATTTTTTGAATCTTCCGCTCTATTTATTCAAAGCCCATACTAGAAAGTACCCAAAAAACCCACCCCCCCCCCCCCCTCCCCAAAAAAAACCTACTCCTTAATATAAGCCCATATCTATTATAAGCCCACTCTAAATACCCAGAGAAAAATAGAAGCACGGGGCTTTAATTATATATTTACGGTATTCGATCACTATATTTAGGCATTACTTACCTCCAAGATACACCCAAATTTAAGATAATTTTTAAAATTGTTTTGGCCACTGGGGGAAGCCGATTACCCTCACTATAAAGAAATTTTTAAATCCCAAAGTTGTATCTTATAATGGGAATCAAACCAATTTTTAAAAACATTTTTCAGTGTTATTCTCATTACACAACTGGCATTGCCCTACATTGAAAAAGTTAAAGGAAATGTGGTCAGTGTGAGTTCAACAATCTCAGTTCGTTACGCTTTAGCAACGTTTTATGCTCTTCTTAAAGCTGGACTAGATCATTGGACTAGAGCAATGGCTCTACAATATGGACCGAAGGGGGTTCGGTTCAATGCTATCAAGTAGAAAATTGATTAAAAAAATTTTTTTGATAAATTTTCAGCCCTGGCTGTACAAAAACAGTAATTTTTGAGAAAAATGGATTTACTGGAGAACTCAAAAAATTGGTAAAACTTTAACGGACTTGATTCAAAAAATATTTTTTAAATAAAAGCATGAACGTTGGGTAAAGAAAACAACTCCTTTAGGGCGTTTCGGAGAGGTTCACGAAATGTCGGCAGCATTAAAATTTCTGGCTAGCGAAGAAGCTTCTTATATAACAGGGGTTTGTCTAATGGTGGATGGTGGCTGGTCTATTGCTTCTTTAGGAATGGATCAAATATAAAATTAAAAAAAAATTTCAGAAAAAATTTATTTAGTAAATTAAATAAATAATTTTAATAGAAAATGATATTAGATAATATAATGTTAAAAGTAAAGCTTACAAATACATGACAAACAAAAACTGTAAAACGTAACCTATACGATTTTAATATGAAAACAATCAAAACGGTTTTTAACAACCAATTAGTATTATCATTCTTATTATCATTTTAATTATTTGAATTGATTTATTTAATATATCTTTATGATAATTTTAAGCTAATAAAAATGTAAACGATTTATAAAGCTCATGTACTATACTATACCCTTAGTGATTTTTGCAAAAGTTAATTTGTAGAGGGCCAAAAATTTCGTAAATTTTAGAAACGTTTGACAATTAATATTAAATAAAATTTTAGACAAATTAAACAAATTTTATATCATCAAACTTTTTAAACATTAGTTAAGAAATGAATAATATTTAGGTATTTTCTTTTTTTCTTCTCTAAGTAAGACAAGCCATCTTAATCTAAAAATATTACTATTATATTCTTTATAAAATTACAAATCTACCTAGTTAAAAAATAATTGTCCAAACCTTTTATCCAAAAATTGAATAGCAAACTTTTTGGGTTTTGCAAAGGCTAAATCCATGGCTTCGTCGCACTCAATTTTGGCTGCTTGAATGCCTTCATCTCTTAAATTCGCACAAATTTTTGAACCCAATTCTTGCACAGATATTTCCAACTGTTCACGGGATGGAAAGAGGGTGCTGGCAGTTTTTCTAAATTTATCGATGCAGCATTTTCGGTCAGGATCCGATGATGGACAGAGAAGCATCTCCCATGGCTCTGTAACCTTTTCACAGGTAATTCTTATAACATTTGTTTTATCACTCCATTTTAAAGCACAGTTTACAGTTCCTGCAAGAAGTCTTGCTGAATTAAAACAAAGTTTTTGCAACGGGTCTTTAGCAAGCTCCGACGCGATGTCGCAAAGATTAAGATTGGATCCATCTGTTTTTTCTAATCCACACTGAAAATAAAATATGTAAAATTGTATATTCTTTTTATAACTAAACTACTCTTAATATACATTGTTTTCAATATTTAAAAAATACGTTCCTTCCAGACCGTGGTGTAAGGAAAAATATAGAAATAAACGGAAAAGTGGAATTATTCAATAAAGAAAGAGTCCAACAAAATAAAAATATTTTATTTAAATCAATTTAATTTCCTTTAATGAAAATATATGAATCAATGAATTTGTGGAGAGCGGAAGATTATTTATAGTGGAAAGGTCACAAAGAAAAAGGGGATGTATCAATAAAAAAAATAAAAAAATGTAAAGGAAGGAAATTTGCGGAAAAACATTTGCGGACTTTGTGGGGAGTTAATGCGAAAGTACCGAATTTATTAATCATGTTTGTTATTTGATATTATACATTGATTTATTTATTCCTCATAAACCCTCACTGGGATACAGTTAATTCTAACTTTTCGAAAGTTAATATTTTTGAAATTTTTAATACAAAAATATTTTAATTATTGTGGATTTACTTGTGCACGATTAAAAATAGCATTTCGATATGGGGTGTTTGTTAAAATACAAATAATTGGGTTAAATACAGGTGTTAAATGAAAAGAAATGTGAAATAATATTCGAATAATATTTGTTGTATTAATTGTTTTTGAATATACTATAACAAATAAAGTGCCAGCTTGGTTAATAATTGGTAGAATTACCTAAAAATTAATACAATAATGTTCAACTTAGAAATCGGCAAAGACAGGATACCGTACGGTATTTTGAGGGATCTGGTGGGTATTGGCTTAGTATGAAAGCCCTTCTATTATTCAGTTTTATTCTTATTCCCGCAGTGTTATTCTGATCTCTCATTCTATTCTGTCTCCAAAATATTCGCGTATAGCTCGAGATTTTTGAAAAGCCTGGGCCTGTTCCTAGGTTCCGGGTTTGATTTATTGACCTGGGCCGGATCCTGGGCCTGTAGTCCAGGAAAAATCAAGGAAGATCAGAAATGGGGCCTTGACTCTGGGTACAGTAAAAACCCAGGCTTTGGTCCAGGTCCAGCTCGATCTCTAGTATACATATGTTTATTGTTTAATTAATAATTCACAGTTTGTTAGTTACTGTTTTATCTCGTTATTCTTTGTACGTAAACATAGAAGTCTCGTACATAACAGGATCTTATCCCAAAATCCTTAGTTTTAATAGACGAACGTGAGCGGGAGTTGCGGGATTATTCACTCTGGACTCTGTCCTGTTCGACTTTAGAAAAAATCCCGTTACGTGATCCCGGGAATTCGATTTTACCGATCTCTAGTTAAAATATAATTACCAAAATAATCAAAACTTTTGTCAAAAGTTTATTCAATCGTTTCAACTCTTGATCAAAATTAGCGTTTAAATTGACATATCTAACCATTTTGAATCCACAGAAAAATACTATTAAAGTTGCAAATATTTCCATTAAAACGATTAGTGAAATTTTCAGAAATGTTATCTGTATTTTTAAGTAACTTTAAAAATTTTGAAATTTAAAAATTACATTTTCCACTCTACCAAATTGTACAAACGGCAATGTTTTGTTAAAATTATCAAAATATTTTATACCCCCGGAAGAGTATGGAATAAAAAAGAAAAATATATCCAATATATAAAATACAGTTACAAATAAAACAATTGACAGCATTAATAAATAACGACGAAAATTAATTTTCATATTCCTAAGAATATTTATTTAAAGAGAGATTTTTAATATTATCTTTATTGGTATTATCCGATTATCTCCTCCATTTTTCTTTCCTTCTCTTCCTTCATTTTACTTCTTAAAAGAGAATTGAAGGAAGGCAAATAATGGCCAAGGAAGTCTATAGCACCCGGCTCTGCTTTTGAGAACCTATGGTACGGTAGTATTCCAAAACATATGTGGTACTTTTCATTTCAAAACCATACCTCTATTCTCAATAGGTTCACCGTATGTCCATAAATCTCTAGTGAGATAGAGACCTTTATTCAGAATAGTTACAGTACAACGTACACTACCGTACCATAGGTTCTAAAAAGCAGAGACGGGTGCTATAGAATTCCTTGGCCATTATTTGCCTTACCTATTTTCTTTAAAGGAGAAAATAAAGGAAGAACAAAAGTAGAATGAGGGAGGAGAAGAGATAATCGGATAATATCCTTTTACCTATTCAAAACTAAATATCTATAAATAAATTGAGCACACAATCCATGCCCGTTCATTATAGCAACATATTGCCACAATGTTCCAACAATATTACACATGGCCGGATTAAAATTTTCTTTCATATAAATAAGCAAAATTCCATTAGGAATAATCAAAATTGAATTCCCTTCTGTATCAAGTAAATAAAACTAAAAATTAAAGTAGTTACTAAATTTTCCAGAATAATTACGTGAAATTTAACCAGACTGACAACTAATTTTTTATTATTATTTTGGTTTTTTGATATGTAATACTGATTTAATATTTTAATTCTGAGTATATGTATACGACGATTGTACAGTGAGACAATTGTACAGCGGACGATTGTACAGTGGACAATTGTACAGTATTCAGAACTTTTTAAAAAGAAATTTAATTTTGCTCTAATAAGTAAGAAATATGACCTCAAGTATCGAAAACCATATGATCAACATTAATTTTTTTAAATTTTATTATACAACATGGGGAGGTTGTTCAATTACGGAGAAGCTTATTTTGACTTTGCTTATCAATTCAACAAATTGAAGTTCATTCCGTCATTGGAACAACCTCACCATGTTGTATAATAAAATTTAAAAAATTTAGTGTTGATCATATGGTTTTCGATACTTTGGGTTAACATTAAATTGTTTAAAAAAGCTCTTAATACTGTACAATTGTCCACTGTACAATTGTCATGGAGCCTTCTATACATACATATATGGTAATTATGTTGTTTCCCTCCCTTGTTTTACAAAATGGTCAGTCATTTCTTTTCCTTTTAATTTCCTTGTGGCATTTAGGGTACCTTGCAATAGTGATTGTCGAGACTCTCGGTCTCTCGATTCGCGAGTCGGGAAATTTCCCGGGTTTTTTGAACTCTCGACACTCGGTCTCGACTTTGTTTAACTCCCGACTATCACCACCTTGCAATAGTGAAATTTGCAGGGAAGAAATGACTGACCATTTTGTACATCAAAGAGAAATTTGGTAGGGGAGGGAAACAACATAACACCTCCATATATATTCTGTTTTAATTACCGGTTGTAAAAACATTTGAATAGTCAACAATAAAATATCCAAAACACAATTTTGTATCAGAATTCGACTGTGTGTTTTCATTTCTTTTGGTGTTTTAAAAATAATTAAAACAATCAGAATAAAATTTAAAGGAAACCCAATTAATAAATAAACAAAATAATCAAATTTAAATAAAATATCAAGCAAATCTGAGGACATTTTTTTATTTTTTAACAAATTAAATGGTAAAAATTAATTTTAAATTAATTTTTTTATAAAAGATTGGAAATATTCTCACGTTAATTGCCGTTTAAAAAAATATTTTTGAGAAAATTTTGTTTTTAATAAGCATATCGTGAGAAATGACATATCATTAGACCCCACTCAATTTAATATTGAAACTAAACAAAATATTTAGAAGACAATAAGAAAAGGGTACACCGCAAGGTACCGCTCGTCGAGGTACATCGAACAGATTACACCCCAACGTAACGCGAGGCCACCGTACCGCAGAGCTATAACTTCGTTTAAAATGGTCGAATCCGGGAAGCCCTGATATGGTTTGATTCAGCTCGTCGAGGTGCATCAAACCATACCAAGGCGTCTCGGAGTCGACTATTTTGAACGAAGTTATAGCTTTGCGGTACCTTGGCCTGCTTCAAAGAAAGAGTTCTCACTTTATACGCCATAGGCGAAAATTTTAGGAATTTTGGAAAATTGAAAACCAAAATTCCTTTTTTTCACCGTAGAATATTTTTAAAATTAAAAAAAAAGATTTTTTAATTTCTTTACTTTCGGTCAAATTTATACAAGACTTGTTTAATTCAAAAAATTTTTAATTTAAAAAAAATAAAATTAAAATTCCTCTATATTCAGCACTGTCTAAAGGACGCTTTAAGATCAGAAAACTGATCAAGTTGTCGAATTTCAGAAATACATTGGGAGCACTTTAAAAATATTTTCTTAAAACTATTTAGTTTTAATCACCTCCATTTTCCCTCCAATTACCGCTGATTGTGTCCCCCTTATTTCTGTTGGGGCAGAAGCTAAGGAATGAATTCGAGATTCAATCCCAGCTGCAACTGATTGTTTCAATTGTTGTTCCTGTTGCTTTCTTTGTTGTGCTAACACATCAAAATATGTTATACAACTAGTTTAAAGTAATTTGGATTATAATTAGAATAAAATTTTAAAGATATTTTTGAAGAAAGTATGCCACCCCTTTAGAGGATATGCTGTCTCTCATAACTAATTTTATCTAAATAGGGTTATATCACAAGCGCTCGGGCGCGGGTATGTCGGGGTACGGGGTTTTCGAATTGTTTCGAAGCGGGGTTCGGTCGGGGAGAATCGTGAAAAAATCGTTCGGGTACGGGGTACAAATTGATTTTATCGCAATTCCCAGAAACACTTATACTTTCATGCATCTTATTCTTTCTGCAAGTAAAAGGTATCCTGTGAAGTGAGTCTAACACATTGGGGTTGGTGGAACCGGATATTCGGTAATTTAGCAGGATCATCCAGCACTGCCCTCACATATCCCATGGCCTAGGTTTTGTGTCAGTACTTGCAGAACGAATATTTGGTTGGAAGATGGCAAAGATTAAAACTAGGGTAGCACCCCGTCACGAAAAAAAACCCGACCCGAAACTCCGGCAAACCCGAACTCAGCCCCGAAAGCTCGGAGTGCTACCCTAGTTTAAACTTGCAACAATGCTTCTACATATTCCATCACCCACCCAATGAAATTTTACTGTGGCATAAGGCTTTGTTCTTTACTTTAAGTGATATTTAAAATTACCTAAAAAGAACAATTGATTGCCAAAAAAAGAATAAAGATAAAATTATGCTAGATAAAATAGTTAAAGCACAATAAATAAAAGTTGTCATTGAAGAAGAATTTGAATTGTCAAAAAAGGGAATAAAAGAATCGGAAGACTGCAAAGATGTTGAAAAATGTTTTAAGGAAGGCTGGGAAGCAATAGTTTCTGAAAAATTGTTATTGTAAAATTTTTAAATTTTAGCCTTTGACCGATCCACGGTTAAAGGCCTTTTGACAGATGGGTCGGTTCGTGTAGAAATTTAATGTAAAGTTTGTTCACCTACATAGAAAGTTAAAATTAGGGTAGCATCCCGAGCCTTCGGGGGTGGGATGGGTTACCCGAAACCCAATCCGAAGAAAATTTTCAAAACCCTCCTCGAATCCCGACTTTTTTCTCAACCCGTCCGATCCCTGGTGTGCTACCCGTCTGGGATCGGGGTTTGCCGGGATAGAGCCTTCGGGGTTCGGGTCGGAGCTTTTGCCTAAAATTCCGGGATAGAGCCGGGGGTTAGGGTACCGGGGGACAGGGTGCCCCTAGTTAAAATGCTAAATGAGGGTTAGACCTAAACCTTTACTTTAATAATAGTACAAAAAAGATTTTAATTAAAAATTTACCAAAATGATTTTTTAATTGTTCAAAACAAAGCAACGAAAACCCCCCAACAATTAAAGCCATACAAAAAGTAACAATTGAATTAATAACAGAAATAACTAAGAACGGATATAGACACTTTGAAGAATGTCTGGATAAAGAATATGCTGCTAAGGGAACAACAACTAAAGGAACTAGAATCCAAACCTTTAAAAGGGGGGAGAAAATAAATTTTTTAATAATAATTTTTTAAATTAACCATAGTAGCTACGGATCCAAATATTACCCCACAAGCACTTAGTGCCACATAAAAAAATAAGAAAAGTCTGGCGGCTGTCTAAAATATAAATAAATTTCTATTAAAATTTAATTTTTAAAGAAAATTAGAATTGCAACATAACCTCATGGGTCGACAAGATATGTTTTTTAAAAGTTGTCTGGCTTCTGGATACAAGCCGTTCGAAAAACATTTTACGAACAATCGAAAAGAATCGAAAAGAACAACATAAAACCGAAATAAAAAACGAAACAGTTCAGCTCTTGATGGGAGCAGACCTGACCCTGGATACGGATAATATCCGGATATCCATGAATATATCCGGATACGGATAGCAAAATCCGTGTTCATGGCCAGGTCTTGATAGGAGTGTCTCTCCTCGTTTTTTTCTCTTTTTCTCTCTTCTATATAAACGATACCTTCTATATAAGATACACACAATATAAGAGATAATTTTTTAGATTAAAGGATATATCTAAAATCAAGGTTCTACCATATTTTTTTAATTAATTATTTTTCTATTTATTCACCTCAATTCGTAAAATTCCAAAAAAACATAATTTAGAATTGTAACTGTCAACACTCCCAATCATACTTTCTTTACTTTTTCGTCTCCTTTTATTTTCTAAAATAATTTTTAAAAATTATTTTAAAAATATTTTGCCTATATTTATCAATCCATGCGGAGTAGAAGAAGATTTTGAATAATTATTTGATTGTTTCATAGCCATATAGGCAGAGGCTACAGTTTTAGCATTATTTTCTGAGCGAGAAGTGTTGTTATATTCGAAAGAAGACATTTTTTCTAAGAAAAGAAATTTTTTTCTTATTCAAAATAATTTTTATTTAAAGGGGTTTCTTGTTAATAATCACGTGAATTTTGTTGTTAATTTTAGGAAAGCACCCCGTCCTACGACAAAATTTTAGGCAAAAACCTGGCCCAAACCCTGAAGGCTCTACCCCGGCAAACCCTGATCCCCGAAGACCCCGCCCCGGAAGGCTCGGGGTGCTACCCTAGTTTATTTTATAAAATTGCAAAAATGTTGGTCATTTTCGGCTAAAAAGGACCTTGAAATGATGGCATAATGATACTCAAAAGTTAAAGCCAATGGGTATTACTGACCATAAATTTACTTGAGCTCTCTAATATACCTTATTTATTCAAATAATTGCCCTCCTTTAGATAATTACTCCCTTCCCTATTATTTGATTTATGCAACGAGAAGTTGAAGTAATAAATATCCAGATTTATATTTAATTAAATTTTAGATAGAATTAAATTGAAAGGTTGTTTTTATTAAATTTAAGGGTTCTTTTAAATAAACGGAAAGTTAAGGAAACAAACAGAAAACCTAAAAGTAAAAGCTAAAAAAAAAGAAAATGTCAAGTAAATATATCTTCGTAATTTTTGGACACCGTATCTTCTCGATTAATTCCCCTCTCTCTAATAATCCCTCTTTTGATTAATTACTCATGCTAGAGTTGGGTTGAAACAATAATTCCCCAGGGAAATTAATCGAGAAAATAAGGTGTGTAGGTTTTAGGGATCGCCCCGATAAAAACTATATCTTCGATTTCGGCAAATCGGGAATGCACGATTTTTTTAAATGTTATAAAGCCACACGTTATAAATTTTCCTATTCTAATAGAAAATTTTCCCTAGACAAGTTTATGACCATTTAATAGGTATTTAATAGGGCTACAAAAATATACAAAAATAAAGAAGGCTCAAAGAAAATTTTTTTGAGTAAACCATGAAGAATATGAAAAAGAAAATTTTCCTTAAGTAAAAGGCCCAAAAGTAATTTAATTAAATATAAAAATTAACGGTTACCATGAGAAAACAATAAAAATTTTTTTATTAATTTTTAATGAAAAACAGAGAGAATAAATAAATTAAATAAATTATAAAAAATTAATTTAAGGTGTTTAATTGGTAAAAAAGAAGGGGGGAAATGTGTGTTTTTAATGTTTTTTGTTTGTGTCAATACCACGAGGGCTGGAAATTTGATACTAAAAAATAAATTATTTTTTTCTTAAAAAAGCTAAATATGGTGATAATAAAATAATAAGAAAATAAAGAAAAGAAAAAAAATATTTTTGGAAAATTAAATAATTTTGTTTAGATAAATGGTAATGAATTAATTTATTTAAATAAAAATTAATAAAAGAAAATAAATAAGAAAATAAATAAAATATTTAAAAAAATTTAAAAAAATTTTTTTTAATAATTCTTTCCCTCATTTTTAAGGGAAAAATTTTATATTAATTTTAGTTATTTTCAAACACTCAATTTTTTAAACACCCATTTTTTAAATAAACTACATACTTCAAGTTTTAATGAAAGTACAAAGCCCTTTAAAATTTGTTAAACACGATAAGATTTTTTAAAAATCTTATTACTAAATATGATAATTATTTTTGTCTTGAGTATTAGGGAGGGAACGGATGGAGAAAAAAAGTCGGTTTTCGGATCGGATTTCGGGTCGAAAAGGACCGGGTACCGGGTTTCGGATGGATATCAAATTCCCAGACTTTCGGGGCGTTGACGGGGAACAACCTTTGTACTAAAGCTAGATGTCATCTCAAACAATTCATTCAAAATAAGATAGTAAAGCAGCCGGGCTATAGCTATTTCACTCCTTTAGCTAGTGCAAAAGGTTATTCGGCGGCTGGGAGCGAACCAGCATCTTCAGTAGACCGGACTGATGTGTTAGCCATTACACCACGCCGCCTACTGCATAGCCTTAGGAAATAAATATGCTTTATATGCTTTACAAAAGTCACTATATCGAGATCCGACTGTCATATTAAACAATAATCCTCCCTTACTTGTATCTCCTTGTATCTCCCTCCTCCGTCCATCCCCACAAGCATTAGTTGTTGTATTGTTTAAAGGCATAGAATTACTGCTAGTTTCTTCCTCCTCGTCATCATCATCTTCGTCCTCTTCTTCTTCATCTTCTTCTTCAGTTGTTGTCAACAATCTTCTGACACTTTGTTGTTGCCGAAGGGCTATTGCGGACATTGCTGCTAAGGGCCTATTTTGCTGTTGATTTTGCTGCTTATTTCGTTTATTGTGTAATTTTAAGCTGCTAAATCGTTTCCAGCCTGTTGAGGGTAGTATGTCCTGGTTTTTTGTGAAAAAAAATTTTTTTAACGGAAGAAGGGTTGAAAGAACATATTTTTAAAAATTATATTTGAAATTTAGAATTTGAGTGATTTAATTATTTAGAAAGAGTTTAGCAAAAGTTTAGCCACCGGGCAGGTTTCGACCGCTGATAGTTCGAATCCTGTAGAGATCGGACCAAACAAATATTTGACGTTGGAAAATCAAATATTTGATCAAATTTTATTTGATTTTATTTGATCAAATATTTGTTTGATGAGTTTTTAATAAAATCAAATATTTTCAAATATTTTCAAATATCAAATAGTTTGATCAAATATTTGTTTGACGACATTTGGAAAAAATCAAATTTTTTCAAATATTTTCAAATATCAAATAGTTTGATCAAATATTTGTTTGATGGGTTAAAAAAAAGTCAAATATTTGATCAAATATCAAATAGTTTGAAAATTATTTGATTTTCCCAAAAATTCTGAATTTTTGTTAAAATATGATGAAAAATTGTTTATTTAGCAACATATTTTTTACAAATTTTGCCTACGACGCTAAAGTCCTTCCCTATAGCGTCTTAAAAATTAGAATTTTTTCCCAGTACTCAGGGAATATCGAGGTATATGGAGGATATCAAGTGATTTTGAGAAATTTTTTGGGATTAAGAGTACTATCACGGGATTGAGAGGGATATGTGGGAATTAGAAGGGATATATGAGGGTTTGGATGGATATTGTGGATTAAGGGGATATCGGGTGATTTGAAGGGATATCAAGGTCAGAGCATATAGGGTAAGAGGGGTAATATATTTATAGGGTAATATCTGTGGATTAGGAGAAATATCGGGTTGGGGGATTAAGCGGGATATATGGATTAAGGGGATAATATCTGAGAATAGTGATATCTGGGAATTAAACTCGTGCCTTAATCACAAATATACTTTCAACCCCACGATTTGCATCTACTTAATCCATAAATCTCATGTTATCTCGAATCCCCTTAATCCCTGCAAATCCCAAGTTATCTCCCTAATCTATTGATTTATTACAACTATTAATGTATAAAGGATATTTAGTTATTATTATGTTAATTTTCCACTTAATAATCAAATTCGTAGGCAATTCCAAAATTTTGAAAAAATTTGATATTTGATCAAATATTTGATATTCTTGATCAAATTTTTTTCAAATATGTTCAAATATCAAATAATTTGATCAAATATTTGTTTGACCACTTTTGGAAAAAATCAAATATTTTCAAATATTTTCAAATATCAAATAGTTTGATCAAATATTTGATTGATGAGTTTTGGAAAAAATCAAATTTTTTCAAATACTTTCAAATATCAAATAGTTTGATTTGATATTTGATTTTGCGGTTTGTCCGATCTCTAGAATCCTGCCCGGTGGCCGCTTATTATGGCCGATGCCCCGGTACCATTAAGCTATCGGGGCATCGAGTAATTTCCCTTTTTAGATCGTTTAACCCCTGCCTAAGCGTTTTATTAAACGCTTTAGGTGAATCATACTTACAATTTAAATTTCGAGTTAAATACGGGGAGCTAACAACTAGCTAGTTAAAGGGTAATTAAGGAAAATTTTTAACCATAAATTCCGGTAATTAAAAAAATAAGAAGCGAGTGGTGTAGAAAGGGATTTATGAATTCAAACGTTTAACAAAAAACGTTTGAAATTAATTTTAAAATTTAAAAACCAAAATTAAAAAATTAATGTATAATATATTTCCAAAAATGATTTTAATGTTATTCTCAGAATGATTTTTTTCTTGTTTCTTAATTGAAAATTTATTTTGAAAATTTCGAAGAAAATTTATTTTAAAAAATTTTTATATTTTTTACCATTTTTGGCAAATTTTGAGAAGTAAAATCATTAATAATATTATTACTTTTAAAACGGACTTTACATTGATGATTTTGTTGTTGATTGGAAATTTTTGGATAATTATTGTTAATTAAAGTAGTACTCATTTTTAATTAACTTACTGAAAAAAGAGAGTAAATTACTCTATAAAAAATATTTTTAGGTCGAAAAAATATTATTTATTTAAAATAAATGCTCAAATATTATTTAAAAATAATGTTAAATTGAAGTTTTAATAAATTCTCAAATTTCAGAAATTGAAATTGAAGAGATATAAAACTTATGATCAGTGGGAATCAGGGTGGCCTTTTCCAAACCACTAAAATGGGGCGCAGCCACTCAAAAATGGGGAAAAAATAGGGCGAAATCGGTCAAAAGTAGGGCAAAAAATAGGGCATTGTTTTAAAGACTTAAAAATAATTAAAATTTTAAATAAAAAGCTTTATTCCGCATGTTCTCCACTAATTTTAACTAAATTGAGTAGATCACAATGAAGCCGTTTGTAAATAAATATATTTCAAAAATTGTAAAACGATCAAATAAAATATCGAAATTGAAAATAGTGGAGTGTCGAGATATTTGTTCGAGATCTCGTCTTGATCCGGTCTCTAGTTCAGATATACAGATTTGGAACAAATGATAGCGCAAAATCTTGTGAGATACTTTCTGGATCCCCTTTTGAGCGCCGCAGGCGAAAATTTTGGAAATTTTGATGTACAAGAGTCAGTTTTTTTTGTTTTTTTCGCATTTTTTTACAAAAGACAAAAAATTTGAAAAATATTACAAAATGCTAAAAATAGGGCAAAATATGGCAAAAGTATAAAATAGGGAAAAAATAGGGCGAAAAGGTCAAAAATAGGGAAAATCCTCTATAAATAGGGTAAAAAGGCCACCCTGGTGGGAATGGAAATAATAATATCTAGAATCAGATCTTCCTTTTGCCGATGAAAAATTCATATCCAAAAAGAGATAAATAATATAGAATGTGATACTTAGGAGTGCGGTTCGTTATCCGGAATCAAAAAAATCGTATCTAAACGTGACTGATAAAATTGAGGCAATATAAACCAGACTGGTGCATGGATACAGATATTATCCGGATGACCGCGGATATATCCGAATACGGACGGATATGGATACTGTTTTCTGAAAATCAGACGGATACGGGTGCTCCAAATCCACGGATATTGCGGATATCCGTCCATAATTTTTTCGGCCGTAACAGTTGAAATAATTCCATTTTTTATTATTTTTAAATTTATTTAAGGTAAATAAAAATAAGTTACATACAATTTGTCAGAAATATAAAGAAAAATACTTGATTTTTACGTTGATTTTGATTGATTAGACTTTAAATTGCGAAAAAAAAATTTTTTTATTTTAAAAATATGTTTACTCAATAACTCTATAAAATTCATAAAATAAGACACGTGTTAGCTATTAAAAAAGAGAAAAAAGGGAGAGAAAAAAGGAGAGAAAACGACAGATTTTAAAATTTAAGTTGATCGATTTTAAAAATTAAAAGTTATAAAAATATTTTTAAAATTTAGCTAATAAAAAATAGCTTAGTAAAGCAACACAAATTTTCAAAAAAAAATTTTTGTCACAATTAGGGTTGGGGGCCGATCCGGCCCCCAAATAATTTAAATCCGGCCCGGTCCGAAAGCTCGAGTCGGGCATCCGAAAAAGACTCGGTCGGGTCGGCCCGAAAAAATGACTCGAACGTTGGCCCGACTCGAAAACCCCAACCCTCAGAATAATAAAATTCTCAAAAAATCTGTCTATAATTTAGGTGGAGCAATAAATAATTTAAATATAAATTTTTATTTCACATATTTTCCTTCCTTTATTTTTTGAGAAAAATAGACTAAGCTAATGAACTTGTGTTATTTTTTTATTTGTTTATACATACACACATGTCCTCACTTTCTTTTCAATTTTCTTGAAAAGAAAATAAAGGCTTTTGTTTCAATCTTTTCAACAAAATTATTTTTTTTCTATTGAATTTTATATAAAATTTAATTATTTATTATACAAAGTACTTTTATTTAAAAAAAAAGAGAAAAATTCGGAGTAGCCTATAGGTGTTCTTTCGAATGGAACCACTCTCGAAGCTTTATGGAACCACTCTCGAAGCCCATTAAAGAGGTCTAGTATTATTTTTGAACCTCCTCCGTATATTAAGAATTAAAAAAGAGTTTTTAAAATTGAATTGGATTCCTTTAAGACGATTTGAATGTTTAAAAGCGCCAAACACCCCTTAAGCAGGGATGTCACTGGTTACTCAAAACCCGAAACCCCGACTTTTTTTCGACCCAAGACCCGAAGGACTTTTTTCGACTAGAGACTCGATCCGAAGAAAATTTTGAAACCCGACTCGACTTTTTCTCAACCCGTGACATCCCTGTTAAGAAGTGGCTGAGAAATAGGGCTGGAAAATTTAGAATATCTGGAATCGACCCAAAGAACCAAACTGAAAAATCCTTCGGTTTGATACCAACATGATAAACCCCTATTGAGAAGCTTTCCTATGCTTCTGCTAAACAAGACACCATAATTAAAAATTTTCTTGATTAAAAAATTTTTTGTTTAAAATTTTTAAAATTTTATTGTTAAAAATTTAATTGTGAAAATTTTTTAATATTTTCAAAAAATAAATTTATTTTGCAGCATTTAAAAAATAAAATGCTTATCTCTGTCTTTTAAAGACATCTATGTAATTTCCCTTGGGACAAATTCAACACATTTTATAAAAATTTATTTCCAAATATTTTTTGAGTTTAAAGAAAATATGAAAAAAATTTTAAGAAAAATTTTACTGGACAGAATTTTTTTTTCAATTTTTAAATTCTGGTTAATAAAGTGTAAGGCCGGCGAAGTTTTCTTTCAGCTTAGAAAATAAAACAAAAAAATTAAAACAAACAGTCGTTGGTGGGGTTGTAGAGGGGTTAAACCTTGTATCTGGAACAGGGCTGTCCGCAATTGAAAAGAAATCCGCGTTGCGGATTCCGCAAACGCAATCTCAAAAAACACAGTTATCCGCAACCGTAATCCGCAATTGCGGCAGCCCTGATGGGAAAGCTCTCAGGATCAAGTCCCATCCTTTTGCTATAACAAAAAGAACTTTTGCTTCTTCCGTTCCTTAAATTCTAGCAGAATTTTGTTTTCTCCAACTCTTATA